ACTTAGACCTGATTATCAGTGATTTCAGCTGCAGTGGTCACTGAACAGAACAAAAGACTATCTATGGAGCCTAATCAGCTCTGTCTTTAAGCAGTGGGGAGGGACAGGTCCCCACCCTCTCGCTTGATGCCCTCAATCAGCACAGGCTGAGTGCAGTTCTACTGCCCTTTACTCATACAATAACAACAACATTTCATTCCCCCCCCACCCCCAGCATTCAAGTGATTTGTAACCCAACCCCAACCAAAATCTATCCCTTGGGCAACACCGCTCTGTTTGCTGGACACCTAGGGAGATTAGGTGTGAATGTAAACACAATCTGGTCCCCCCCAGCGCCAACTCATCACTAGCTGTCAGGGAGAGCTCATAGACTTTGCTTACAAATCATCATTTGAAATGACTCGGTTGGGCAACATCACCGGAATGAACGCACTGACATTGTCAGAAACAACAACAGCTGTAGAAGGAAGCTAGTCTATCTTCATACTTCTCAAACCTATGAGACTTTTTCAGATACACCTATTTGCTCATACACTGCATATGCTTTTAAAGTGTGTATTCATGTTCCAATTTCAATTCAAATTTCCAAACAGTCACTACATTGGCATGTCACTGGTTCACAAAACTGGTTGGGGAAATTCAGGGGGGGCGTAGGGAAATCACTGGACCCCGTCCCTCCCCCTGCCCATGCAGCGGGGCCCCATCCCTGGGGTGCTGGTGAGGTGACAGGGACATGGCTCACGTGCATCAGGGCAGGAAACAATTTTTCCCTTCCGGCCCAGGAGAGTGAGTCAGCCACACGTTAATGGATCGTGAAACCAGAGTCAGGAATGTGCCCGGACTCACCGAGAGACCCTACCATAACAGAGGCGCCTGATGAGAGCCCCCACAATAACAAGGCGGCGGGTGCAGCGGAATGAGAGACCCTACAACAACTGAGCAATATGTGCAGTGCAATGAGAAACCCCACAGTATCACGGCAGTCTGCGCCCTGCAAGGGGAGACCCTACAATAATAGAGCAGTGTAATGAGAGACCCTACAATAACAAGGCGCTGTGTGCAATGGAATGAGAGACCCTACAATAACTGAGCAACACGTGCAGTGTAAGAGGAGTCCCTACAATAACAGAGCAGGGCAAGGAGAGACCCTACAATAACAAGCATGGACAGTGCCATCAGGGACACTACAATAAAGCAGCCGGGTGTACAGTGTATAAGAGTCCCTACAATAACAGAGCCGAGTAATGAGAGACCCTACAATAACAAGGCGCTGTGTGCAATGGAATGAGAGACCCTACAATAACTGAGCAACACGTGCAGTGTAAGAGGAGTCCCTACAATAACAGAGCAGGGCAAGGAGAGACCCTACAATAACAAGCATGGACAGTGCCATCAGGGACACTACAATAAAGCAGCCGCGTGTACAGTGTATAAGAGTCCCTACAATAACAGAGCCGAGTAATGAGAGACCCTACAATAACAGCGGGGGAGCGGATCCCGGCCCGGGCATAGAGCGGCCGGAGCGGGGGCGGGCCCGGGCGGGAGGTGGACCCTGCGCAGCAGGTTGGGCGGCTTCCCTGGCTCCGGGCGCCGTGAAG